CCACAAAGACTTGGTGGTGGCCAAAGTGTTACACGGGGTTCGGCTATACTTCTCTGGTCTCGGTCCGGGTTAGGGCGAGTAGACTAAAGCGGTAGTCCGTGAGATTGTTTGCGAAGTGCTATGTGGAAAAGAGTTATAGGATTTAACCAAAGAGTAAACAATCAATTCTACTAAGGTAGAATAACTAGTATCAATCTGGGTAAGAGATGAACTATTGAGAGAATTGACCACAACGAGTGTAATAATGAAATCCAACACATTCTTATACCCATTGTTCTCGGTCCTGACATCTGTGGCATCTCTAGAAAGGCCTGGCATCTACAGATGTCCAAGATGTCCTGGCATCTTGCGATGTCGTGGCATCTGCCCTCTTGGCGAGATGTCTTGTCTTGGCGGGATGCCGATCACGTGATCTTCGCCCCGCGTTGATCATTACCTTCTGACGTGGACATCCATAGGTCCTCTGCCACTCGTCCCGCGTCAAGGAATCCTTCTTGTTACTTGTAACACTTTTGTGTATTAATTTAGGGATTTTTTATTACTATTTTTATTAAATTCTGAGATTATAATAGGCGTAAAAGGCCTATTTTAAGTATAACTAAAAGTAATAGCTACTTAGTTTACTCTTAGCTATAATACAACATAATTACTACGCTTAGTAATATCATGTATGTATAAATTAATTAAAGTTCTCTAACCTATTTATACTATATAATATCGTAACCATTTTCATACTTTATTAGTTTTACTAATATGATAAAGCTTTTAAGTTAATAGTATGAGGAGTAATAAGGATATATTATAGAAGGGGTAATATTCTATTTATAAGAAATGCTATTATAAGTTACTACTACTACTCTCCTATTATTATAAATTACTACTACTATATAACTTCATATTTAAATATATAAGAAAAGAAAGCCTAAAATCTAAAGACTTAATGGTTGTATAATCTAAACTAACGCTAATAGCTATATCTATAAAGTTGATTCTATATGAAAGCAGCTACTTATGTATTTATCAAGCCTTAATAATATACATATTTAGATAACGCTCTTCTTATTCTATAGCTTTTTAAAAAACTCTTTTTTAATACCTTTGATTGTATTTAACTACTGTTTCCCTATATTATCTTTCATCTTTCTTAAGCTAGCTACTTAGTAATTCTTTGACTTTATTATAATTCAACTTTCAAGTCGTAAAAGGCTCCAGGCCTAATTATAAAGCTTAATTACTATTTAAGAATTAGAAAACGCTGTATACATATTATTACTACATTGAATATTGGATAGCCTATATAGCTATTAATTAAAGAAATCTTTAGTATTCTTAAGTTAGCTATAAATGTTCTTAGCTACTATTTGAAATTAGACTTCTAGCTGAATATATAAATAATAGTAAATATACTGTGCCGAGGCACAGGGTCACCATGACCCTTGTGCTAACTAAAGCACTGCTTAGTTTCAAGAAGGAACATAAATCAGTCGTCAAGTGTATAGGAAAAATTAATTAATAATATCTCTTAGAAAAATCTCTTGCTTAAAGAACTAACTACTTATATTTTACACCCTCTCCCCTCTTCTATAGCCTATAAGAAGAGAAAGAGCCTATAGTTCTATTCCCTCTACAAAAAGGATATTGCAGTTCTACACCACACCCCCTACAAATAGCAAAGCCTAAAGGGCTACGTTTAACTCCTTAGTAGATAGAATAGCTAATGCACACTAATAGCAAAAATAAGGAAAATAGCAACACTGCTTAAGGTAGTAGTAGGAGTGCCTCTAACTCTAAGAAGAAGAACTAGAACCTCTTAGAAAAGAAGAGAATAAGGTTTACCTAACTTATTATAAGTAAGTAGACGCGTGTTATTAGTATAACAACTAAACTACTTTAAGAAAAGAAGTATAAGTAAAAGTTAAGAAGATTTAAAATTAAGTTTATTAGGAGAGAGATGCTAATTTAAACAAGCTAAGCTAGCACTTATT